CCTGAAATGTGTGCAAACGGACTGGGATGCAGAATAATGGCCTCAAAAATCTTTTTATAGTTGGTTGCAAGAAAATTGGTGGCTCAAGCAAAACATAAATAAACAAGTCTACTGTTAGTTTCCTCCATTAGTGCCTCTGTTATGCAGCAGAGAGCCGATTGCTGACGTCGTTTACCACCGGAGAGGGAAAACTCACTGCAAATCAAATGCTTCACCTTTAGCCTTTCATAAAACATCTCATCCTGATGGGAGCAGTCTCTTCCAGGATGACCTCATCTACAGAGCATTTACTGAATAGTTCAATCATATTTTGCTTCACAGTCACCAGAACTCAACCCAACTGAACATCTATAGGAGATTTTGCATGGACCTGTTAAGCAGCGCTCTACACCAAATGGGGGAACATATTTTTTGTAAAGAGTACAAAATTCTTACAAACTGGTGTTAAAAGTGGAAACAAATTCAAATTAAAGATAAAACAGTGAATATCAAAAATGGGAATTATAAAAACGATGATATTAAGTCTTTAAAGAAAATGTACTTCTTGAAACAAACCCATTAGATTTGAACTAATACACAGTCATCCTCAAATGTATTCATATGTATTCATATAGATGTCATCCACGTCTTCTAAACGGGTCCCCTTGATGACCCCCTTGAGCTTGGGGAAGAGGAAACAACCCCACGGAGCCAGATGGGGTGAGTAGGGAGGTTGCTCCAGCACGGAGATGTTCTTCTCAGCCAGGAACTGTGGGATGCTCAGGACGTTGTCATGGTGAAGCAGCCACAACTTTTCCTGCCACAACTCTCATCTCTTCTCACACACTGAACAAAGCAAACGCCGCAGGATCTCTTTGTAGACGTGCTGGTTGATCGTCTGAAGGGTCGTAGTTTGTAGTCTGGGTTTGAAATATTTTTTTTTGTGACACCAGTCCTGGAACCTTTCTGACACACCTCGTATGTTTGGGTGATGGTACGTGTCACAGTAACATCTCCATGAATGCCAGGACTCAAGGTTTCTCAGCAGAACATTGCATTGTAGTGAGAAGATCCATTTAGATCAATTTACTGGTGTTAATGTTGTAGCTGATTGGTGCATATTAGGTCCACAGGCATTTAACCAACACACCAAGACTCCTGTGAAAATGTTGTTGCATCAAGAACTTTGACGGTTCTTCTCATTTACTACGGTGTACAGGAGCATCAGAACATCTGATTACATGTTGATCAAAGTGACATTTCTGGTAAGTAACCTTCAACCCAGAGTGTTTTTGTCAGAGTTCAAAATGTCTTTGTTGCAGAAAAAAAACTCATTTTCTCTGCAGCAGTTCATTGATTTCATAAATGCAACTCACGATAGTTTTTCATACATAACATAAAAGTAAAAAACCATATATGCAGTGTTATCTTCATGTTAGATGTCAGAAGGGTTTTGTGGCTCCTGGTGTTTTCTTTTCAGGTCCAAATGGCTCTTTGAGTGTTTAAAGCTGATGAGCCCTGCCTGAACTCAACCTGGTTTGTTGGCTGAACATAATTTTTTATTAGAAGTTGTCTTAACACAAAAAAAATCGATGCCAACAGTTGCTTGAATTCTTTTGTGTTGAAACCAAACACATTCTTTAAGTGTACCACTGTGTAGGTCAACATAGTGAATTAACATTTCTTTTCTGTTCTGTTCACAGGTTCTGAACCGTCACGGTTCACATTTCTGTGTGTTCTCTGTTCAGGATTTAAAACATCGAGCAGCAATGTTCAACAGAAAACACCAACTTGGAGCCAAAAC